GCCACTTAGCTCGTTCGCTTGAAGGATGCTAGAGAGTGATCCAATTGCAACCACAGAGGAAGAGCACCTATAGATCGTACCTTCCGAAAAAGCTCCGTACCTTGTCAAGCTTAGGCCCTCAAGCTGGGAATCTCATGATGGATACCGCTGCTAAGAGAAAAGAAGAAAATCCCTTCTCTGGGTAAATGTGTCAGATCCGGGTGTTGTAGCCCCTCAGCTCATTGCGTCGTGGTTCTAGATGGGGTGAGGGTCAGATCATGAAAAGACAGGAAGAATGGCTGAAATAGAGAGTTGTCAAGTGGCTGGGGGGAGCTGCAGCAATCGAGAGCACTCTTGCGCCAATGATGCAGGATCCCAGCTCGACAGTGGACGATGATGATGAGATGTGGAGGGAGCAGGCAGGCGCGACATGCTCAAACAGTGCCAAGATATTTCCATTGAGAGATGTTCCAATCAGCGCTCGAGTTGGCACGTGGCACAGGGTATCAGACAGATCGGTACGTACCGAGCCCGTTGCTATCCGTGCCACACCTTGCAGCGCTAAGTTCCAAGCTCTGTCCTCTGCCTCCAATATCGACATTCGTGCAACAGGCTGTGCCCCAAGCACGATAAGAGTAGTATCACGAACTAAAATCAAGAGCCTCGTCCTCTGTTAGGTACTTTATCCCTTTGCCCTTTGATCAAGAATACCATTTTTACCGGGTTGGGGTTAGGGTCAGAGTTAGGGCTGGGGTCATACACCCTGGCGACGTGCCCTCTCGAGACATCACAGAAGCTAAAGATATCCCATCTTCACATTCCCTATCCTACCCCAGAGTCTATGTGCTACTATAATCACCATGAGCCATTATATCGTCCTAGCCAAAGCACCCCCCAATGCTAACCAACACCTACACACTCCCCGCAGCCTTGGCCTTCAGCTCCTCCTCCAACCTGGCCAGCATCTTGGCATGAATCTTGTGCCACCCATTCTCACACTGCGACTTGACCACCCCGACCAGCAACTTCGAGCATGTAATGGTCGCCGCCTCGACCAGCTCCAGCCCCGCCGCCCCCTGCTTGACCTCCCACAGAGTGTCCAGGACGACCGACAAGGGGCTCCTGATGCGGGCGAACACGCCGTCGGCGATGTCGGTGAACTCGTACGTGCTCACCACGTTGGTATCCCACAGCCCGGCCGGAATTGTATGCACGATATCGGTCACGGTGAAGCACGTTGTCGGGCGGGTGCCGCGCGCCTGCGCCGTGATGGTGTCGGGGACGGCCGGGGGGCTCGGTGGGGTGAGGGGCTCGAATTTGGAGAGGAGCGGGTCGCAGGAGAGGAAGAAGGCGTGGTCCGAGAGCATGGCGATGGCTTGCTCCTTGGTCACGCCGGCTGGGAGGGGCGAGGAGTGCAGGATGCTGGTGGTGCCCGTGAAGACTGCGGGGGTTAGTTGCCTGTCCGGGGAGAAGGTGGGAGGGGGGACGGACATGACATTGTGAGGTGAGGATTGGTCTTATGGAGGGTGGAATTAGTGATTTGTATGCCGCGATTGTTGACGTTGTTTTTAGGACGAGGCCCAACGTCGCGATGCAATTGACTTGTGTAGGACTGAAGTTGAATGCTTCAGGCGCTTGGAACCAACGATCCTTGGGACCCAGGGGAGGCTGTGACAGTTAAGGTGTCACTCGGACCGTTCCGCAGACACCCACGTCCAAACCAGATCAGCGCACTATGCTTTTTACGAAGGAGATTTCATGGTGATCGCAACTTCTGCTATTTTGAAACACTACCAGGACCCATCAAGTTCTGTGTCAGTGGGAAGTTGCGGGTGGCGGATGCCAAATGTGAAGAAGCAGCTGGCGCATCAAACAGTGCAAGCATTGACGCCTCACGGTTCAAGAACCAGGGTTAGCGCCATGAGAAGACAACAATTGGCTACAAGTCCGAAAGACCAGTAATAACTGGCAGTGCTGAAGTGTGTAAACGTCATGTTGGGCACTTTGTGTCTTTTTCAGTCACGATTCGCCAATTGGTAATTGCTTAACATGAGCTTGGTTGGTGTTTGGTCGAGGGGATGAGGACCTCTTTGAAATGAGTTGAAGGAAGCTTGGGCCACTTATGACATGCAGCTGCCATGCACTAACATTGCGATAAGGTGCACTCTTTTTTGCGGAGCCTCGGCATTCTCGACATTGGACGCCCACTCAAAGAGTTGCAGCCCTTACCAATGGACTCAATAACCAGGAGGCGGGCAGCCGCCTATGTGTGTCGAAGCTGCATCCGGCGCACCTACACTCAGAGACATCAGCGAACGTACTCGAGTGCTGTGCAACCAGACATTTACGATGTCGTGTGTGTCGGCGGGGGCCCAGCTGGCCTGAGTCTTCTCACGGCCCTCCGTACGTATTCCCAGCCATAGCCATGAGCTACATGTACAACAAGCTTACGCCCAAGATACCCAGGCGCAAGTCCCGTCACATCCCACCTCAGAATCGCCCTCGTCGAAGCCCAAGATCTGTCAAAGATCCAGTCGTGGAAGCTACCCCCAGACAGATTCTCAAACCGATGCAGCTCCCTGACCCCCTCCTCGGCCCTCTTCCTCGACAAGATCGGGGCCTGGGACCACCTGGCACGCGACAGGATCCAGCCATACCACGAGATGCAGGTCTGGGACGGCGTATCAGATGCTCGGATCGAGTTCAACTGGGCGCCAGACGCGGCGCCCTCGGCCGGTACCACAATCGCATACATGACAGAGAATCTAAACCTTACGTCAGGCCTCTTGAGACGGCTGGCTCAGCTTGGGGGCGTCTCCGTTTTTGGCAATGCCAAGGTCGAGAACATATCCTTTGGCGAGCAGACGGAAGCGCAAGACCTGCGAGAGTGGCCGGTTGTGAACCTTGCCGGGGGCAAGCAGCTGGTTGCGCGGCTCCTGGTTGGCGCAGATGGGGCAAACAGCCCGGTGCGCTCGTTCGCCGGCATCGAGGCTCGGGGGTGGGACTATGGCCGTCACGGGGTGGTGGCCACGCTGGAGCTGCAGGGGCAGGGCTGGGGCGGCGACCAGATGAAGACTGCCTACCAACGCTTTCTGCCTACGGGGCCTGTTGCCATGCTCCCTCTCCCTGGGAACTACTCGACGCTTGTGTGGTCTACGACTCCTGAGAATGCCTCGTTGCTCAAGCGCCTGCCAACCAAGGACTTTGTCGCGTTGGTGAATGCTGCATTCCAGCTGAGCCCGGCAGATCTGGAATTTATGCACACTCAAAGCGAGGGCCAGGCTGAGGAATATTCGTGGCGATCGGAACACACTCCTTTCCACAGCGAGATCATCCCCCAGGCAGTCACCGGTGTTCAAGAAGGCACCATCGCCTCGTTTCCTCTGAAGATGCGCCACGCCGACACCTACATCGGGGAGCGCGTCGCCCTCGTCGGCGATGCGGCCCATACCATCCACCCCCTCGCCGGACAGGGGCTGAATCAGGGGCAGGGGGATGTGCAGAGCCTCGCAAACACCATCGAGTATGCCGTCAACCACGGCCAAGATATCGGCGGCCGGCTGTCGCTAGAGCCGTACCTAGCCGAGCGGTACACAGCGAACCATGTGCTCATGGGGGTTTGCGACAAGCTCCACAAGCTGTATTCCGTGGGAAGCGGGCCCATCGTTTCTTTGAGGTCGTTGGGCCTGAATGCCGTCAACTCGCTTGGCCCGCTGAAGACGTTTGTCATGAGCCAGGCGGCGGGGCATGGGACCAAGGTCTTTTGATAGGCCTGCTGTGCTTCGGTGGGTCAAGACTGAGGTTTGTAGAATATGTATGTCAGTATGTATATCAGGGGGCTCTTCATTCATCTTGGGCCTTGGCTCAATACATCGAGGATTCACTTTGCCTCCTGTTCCCACGACAAATCCGCAACCAGAGCCCCTTGTTGCCGATTTCGGTAGTTGACCAACCCTCCACATGATTGTACTATCAGGCCTCAGCTTTTTGATACTCGGCACTTTCGCAACCGTCATCTTATATCCTCCTCTGCTAGATACTGCCAAGTTTGTCTGTTCTGAGCAAGGAAGGGCTACATGGGGCAGTAAGGAGTCTCTTGCACGTCCTGATCTCTCATACCTGTCCGGGCCCACCCTTCAACTTGGGTAGATTGGTCACTCCGTGTGACGAAGGAGCACTTGACCCACACCCACCTACGCCAAGTTCCCGCAAAAGGAATGCCAGAATTCCAAGCAGACACTCGGAGTTCGAGATGCGGGCTATATATTGTTGACGGGGTCAGGGCTGCCGTCACACTCCAGTGTTTACTGCCGTCGACGAGCCCCGCCTAATGGGCCTCCGTTATCTCTGCAGAGATATAACTTCATTGCCGCAGTCACGATTAGGTCACCGCCCGGTGTTATGATGAGTTGTCATCAGAGTCTCCCAAGCCAGGCCCGAGGCGGCTATGGTGATTGACGAGGCATCGGTCGAGTGAAGCCTTTTGGCTATACGCATCTATGTAGCTGTGAGATTGAACCTGTCAAAAATACTGGTGGTGATTTTTAGTGAGCTTCGTCATAGCTAATGGCAACAATAGCTCAGGATGCCTGGCGCATAAGCCGGAGACGCCTATGGCCCGAGGGAATCCCCAAGCCAAACTTGGTGGCCCAGAAAAAGGGACAAAGGCAGTTTTTGTGGGCCCCCCCTACTTAACGTGACAAAGGACTTTGTCACTAGAAGAGCTGAAATTGACAAACAATGAAAAGTGCTTTCAGAGCCGGAAGCCAAATTTGGTCATGTTGAACAGGTGATGCGGGACTCTGCTGACGCTCCAGCCGCCAGTCCATGTACCTGATGTCGAGCCCCACGATGAAGACGTGGAGATGCTCTTCTCCATTCTCCATCCACCGCATTTCATGCTTGCGTAATGGTAGTGGAGACCCACCCATTCATGCCTTGGGCGGCGAGCAGAGTGGATTAGCATGTGTCATACCCCATAGCAAGCAATTATCAGCTCCACCACACAACAAACAACACACGGTCCTATAGTGTAGTTGGCTATCACTAGGGATTCTGAATATCTTCGCTTCCCTCAACCTCAGTTCGAGTCTGGGTAGGACCTTCGACATTCTTTTTGCCGATTTGCTACCCGCCTAGGTTGGCGATGGCCCGGTTGGTGTTGAGAATCGTCACTGGGATAACAAAAAACAAAAGTCTTGCCTTTTCTTCCAGGGCAGGGGGGCGCCTTGTATGCCTTGTCACCTCTGTTTCTTGAACATGGCGTATTCAGCTTCCACTTGAGCTCCGGGTTGAACTGGTTCGGGAATGTTACCTTGAGAGTCTCAACACCCCTTTTCACATATATCACCTCCTACCTCAACCCCTATAAGCTCCCACCAAATGTCCATAACCCCTTGTGACCCTGCCTTCAATATATCATGCTCTGGCATCCCAATTCTCGCGTCGGAAACTTTACCCTCCCACCGCCTACCCTCTAGTACTCCCATAAACGCCTCCTATTTCTCTTGCTCTCGCCTTCGAAACTTCAAACTTGAAGTGCTTATCTTCAAACCAACCGCACTGAGCTCTCTACTCTTCACTCGAGCCTCAACTTCCGCTTTGAATCTCCGACACAACTTTTGAATATCGTATGCTCCTGCCTTCGCCTTCCCGCCCCGAAGACTTTATTTGCCCTGAAACACATCTAATCTCCCATACTCCCACCTTCAACTCGCCCCGAAGTATGTATATCCGCATACCTCACTCCAACTCTCTACCAAACACATTCACATACCACAAAAAAAAAACATCATCTTTCCACCGCAACTCCCAAACGCTTCACATACCGTCTACACCCACCTCCACCTCAGCCGCCCAGGCGCTTGAAGTTCCGTGTGCTCCCGCCTTCAATTTCTCTTCATGCTCTCTACATCTGGTCAGCTCCCGCCCCTATTCCCCACCAAGCCCACCGAACGCACTTCGTCTCATACCCTCACCCTCAACTTCCTATCATAAAGCTTCGTGTATCATATTCTCTCGCTTTGGGTTTCCTAACACTCGTCTCGTCTGCTCTCGCCTTATATTTCCTGTCATTTTCCTGTCATTTTCCTGTCCAAAAGCTCAGAATTATACGCCTCCGCCTTGAATTTCCCATTGAGCACCCTGCATCTCACACGCTCCCGCCGTTCATAGACTGAGTAAACATTTCCAGTCTCGTGCTCCCAGCCCCTATTCCCCACTAGACGTCCTTCATCGCATCTTCTCTCGCCTTGGGTTTCCCACCTACCGCTCCACATATAGAATGCTCCCGCCCCCTATTCCCCACTACTAGACGTCCTTCATCGCGTATGCTCTCGCCTTGGATTTCCCATCAACCACTGCATATCCCGTATGCTCCCGCCTTCCATGTGCCCTTTTTCCGTTTCACGTCCTGCGTGTTCCCGCCTCCTATTTTCGCGTGCTCCCGCCTTATATTTCACACTTTCATACACCCGCTTCCCCACCTTCGTATGCTCACTTTCAACATCCGACTTATCCACAGCCCACTCAAGCTCAGCCTAGTCATTGATATTCCCAAGCTTTTGTGCTAATACAGCTCCATAATTTTCTATCCTTCTCGCCTTGAATTGCCATCATCGCCGGGGCTGATAAACCGTGCCCCTCCGCTACCAGGTAAAGCCACCTCCCTCTCCAGTCCCATGCCCCCCTCGGTCTTCCAGACACTTCATTCCTGGCCTACACTCTCCCAAACCTCCCGGTTGCATCGTGGCTTCCCAAAAGGACATCCGAACCCCAACAACACCCCACCTAGATTCCGCCTAACATTACCGCCCCCCCTAAGCAACACCCCAAAACGGCAGCCACGATGTGCATCCAAGAGCACATCGCCTACCAATGCGGCCACCGGTCGCCCGGGGTAGTGCGACCGTGTCCAATGACGACAGCGTCGGAGAACTTCGCCGTGTGCCGCACGCAGGCGACCAAGCAGCACAGCGCCTTCACCATGTGCACCAGCTGCGAGCGGCGGCTGCACTTCCGGTGGGTGCTGATCCGCGAGTGGGAGCACCGGTGGATGCACGAGCGCGGCGTGTGCGGCTGCGAGGTGGTGTTCCCGGGCCTGCTGCACCAGCCGCGGGTGTCAGGCTTTCCGCCCCCTTCGTCGAGCCGCCCCTATCCCATCGCGACTGCCGTGGGCTCCTCCGGCGGGCCCTCCGTCGTCCCTGCCTCGTATGCCGAGACAACAGCTGGGGGGGAGCACCGTGTGGCCGTGCGGGTTCCGGGGCTGTATGCGGCCGAGTGGGTTGCTGATCACCGCGCGCGACACCAGGCCGGACAGTGCCACTGCGCCGTCAACTTTGAGCCGTTCCAGCCCGCGGTCGGGGAGGGCGAGTTGACCCGGGAGGAGCGTGCGCTGCTGCACCACTACCGAGAGCTCGAGGACAGGAACAACAGCCTGACGCGGGCCGATACGGCGGAGCGCGTGAACGAGATCACCAGCCTCTTTGGGTCCTTTGACGGTGTACCCCTTTCTTCCGTCCCCACGACAACAACACTGGCCGAAGCCATCCCCGCCACAATCGACGACAACTCCTTCTACAGCCACGACCAAGGACACACCCAGGACCACCCCCAAGCCCACACCCACGTGTCGCCGATGAGCATGTTCAGAACCCAAACACTACCTCACCAGCAGGCCCAAGGCCACGACCTCTACCCCCCCCAGCCCGCCGCCTCACCTCCCCAAAGCCGCCCCCAGCCAGGTACCTGGGCCCCAACCTTCACGCCAACACAGCCCCTCTCCTGGCCCGATCCCATCACAACCCAGCCCGCCACAGCCCACCCTATCGCCTGCAACAACCCCTCCTCCGCACCCCTCACACCCACCAACCACGCCCCGCCCACCAATCCCCAAAACACCGCCCCCCAGCCATCCACCACGACCGCCAGAAGAGCCCTAATCGTCTCAACCACCCACCCGCACGGCCCCGTCCCCCTTCCGTCTGGCCGTCAACCGTCAACTCCCCCGTCACCACACCGCCTCAGCACACCCCCCGTGCCCCATCCCAAGACGCACCCCTCCTTCTGGCCTCCCGCAATTTCCCTCCCGACGACCCCGCCGACAAACCTTGGCCCGGGGCCCTTCACCACCGCCGGGCTGTCCTACCCCCCACCCTCGCCGCCGGCGCGACACCCGGCGCGAGCCGGGGAACAGCGGACGCAATCCGTGCCCATGCCGTTCTGTGGCCTTCCGATTGGGGCGGGGCCGGAGGGGGAGGCACCGCATGTGCGAGACTGGGATGCGTGTCGGCTATCTCGCGGGACGACGCCTGTTCTTGAGACTTGATTAGGAGGGAGGGATCAACATCATCACGGGGGGACACACAACAGACCAAAAAAAAATCACTTCTTCTTCAACTCAACACCCCACCCTGACGATGATGGATGCGTGTTTATGTACGGGGTAAAAGTACACACAAAGCTCCTTGCTTTCGGAATCTCCACTCTATTTCCCTTCCCATCTCTATCGCCCCTACCACGCCAGTCCAACCAACAAGCGGCCATGGATAGATGGATGGAAACGGTCCCCCAACCTGGCTTGCTCACTATGTAATCCCAGGGGGGAATCGACACACCGGGCCATCAATGCTATGTTTTATCGCTTTCTCAGTCAGAAAATCAACGCACTGCTTTTCTTCTGCTCAGACGCATTGCATTGCATTACCACCGTGCTTCTATTCTCGGTCTTCCAGCTTCGTCTTGCATTACCCGGCCTTGCATTCTGGAAAAGAAGACGGAGGACAAAGGGTTTACCGATCAACCTCACCTACAGGGAGAGTTAGTTTTCGAATTCACACAAACAAAGGGAGGGAGGGAGGCCACATACCAAACACCAAATCCATGGTACCAATCACAGCCACGGCATCGGCGAGCAAATGCCCCTTGGAGATGTGGTCGAACCCAGCCAGATGGGCAAAGCCCGGTGCACGGATATGCACGCGGTACGGCCTCTCACTGCCGTCACTCACGACATAGACACCCATCTCGCCCTTGGGCGCCTCGATGACCGAGTATGTGTCGCCAGGTGGGACGGCATATCCCTTGGTGTACAGAAGGAAGTGGTGGATCAGAGCCTCCATGTTCTCCTTCATGGCCGTGCGGGGCGGCGGCGACACCTTGTAGTCCTCGGTGCGGATCGGGCCAGCAGGCATCTTGTTCAGGCACTGCATGATGATGCGCAGCGACTGGCGGAACTCCTCCATGCGGCACAGATAGCGGTCATAGCAGTCGCCGTTGATGCCGACAGGCACATCAAACTCGACCTCGCCATAGGCGTCGTAGGGGGCGCTCTTGCGGATATCCCAGGGAACGCCGGAGCCGCGGAGCATGACACCAGTAAAACCCAGGTTGAGAGCCTCGGCCGCCGAGACAACACCAACACCCTTGAGACGGTTGATCCAGATACGGTTGTCTGTCAACATCTCCTCGGTCTCGTCGATACGGTCACCAAACTGCGTGGCCCACTGGTAGATGTCGTCGAGCATACCCTGGGGGATATCTTGGTGGACACCGCCGGGGCGGACATAGGCGGCGTGGAGACGGGCGCCAGAGACTCGCTCGTAGAATTCCTGGGTTTGTATTTAGTTTCTGCGTAGCTTTTTTTCCATATTTCCAGCCAATTAAACCACTCTCCACTCTCCAGACTTACCATCAACTTCTCTCGCTCCTCAAAGCCCCAGAGGAAGGGTGTGAGGGCACCAACGTCCATGGCGTGTGACAGGACCGACATGAGATGGTTGAGGACGCGTGTGAGCTCACCAAACAGGGTCCGGATCCACTTGGCGCGGTCGGGGATCTCGACGTTGAGCAGCTTCTCAACGGCCAGGGCAAAGCATTGCTCGTTGGTCATCATGGAAACGTAGTCGAGGCGGTCGAAGTAAGGCAGGGCCTGCAGATATGTCTTGTACTCGCACAGCTTCTCGGTGCCGCGATGCAGCAGGCCGACGTGGGGATCGGCACGGACGATCTCCTCACCGCTGAGCTCGAGGATGAGCCGGAGCACGCCGTGGGCAGCAGGATGCTGGGGACCAAAGTTGACTGTGTAGTGGCGGATCTTGCGGTCCT